GGCGGCGCGGGCCGTGCTGCCGTGGGCGCCGTGGCCGCGGGGCGGGCGGCCCCCGGGAGCGTTGGCCGGAGCTCGGCCGGCCGCGGGGCCGCGCGTGGGCGCCGGCAGGTGCTGCCAGGTCGCCCGCCGGGCGGGGTGGGCGCGGCCCTGCCGCTGCCGTCGGGCGGGGGTCTCGGGCCGGCGCCGGGCCCTAGGCCGTGTGCCCCGTAACGGTCGCTCATCGAAGCGCCTCGCGTGGCGACACTCGCTCTCAACCGCAGGTCCACGCCCCCGCGGGGCTTCGGGAACCGCTGCCCGCTCGTCCGCCATCCGTCGCGTCTCGGGGCGGCGTGGGTGTCGCTCCAGATAAGCCATCAGAGTCGGAAGGCGGTGTAGGATGGGGGGTGACAAAGATGTCTCGACAGGGACTCTCCCGGAGCGAGTTCTTTCCATGAACATAGAGGAGATCCAAGCTTCATTTTAAAAGTGAAAAAGCAAGAAAATTGCTTTCGGTTGCTACCAAAGAGAGAGAAGCGTAAGAGGCCAGCTGTAATAAGGGGAAAGAGAAGTTGGGTAATTTTTGAGATTCTGTGAATTTGCTGTTACTAAATGAAGTGTGATAACAGGCGTTATATCACATTGGATCTCTTCAAGATTAGGCAGGAAATTTTTAAAAAGAAATTGAATTATATGTGGGGTGAATTTTCACCAGCAAATGCGGTAATTAGGCCTTCGGAAAGACCCGAGAGAAGCCAGCTTTCAGAATTACATTAAAGAGCAGGAATTCAAATGGTTTTTTGCCTTAACTACAGTCTACCCTATTGGGACAATCAGTTAATTCTGTCTCCTCTCAATTTTCCTTGTCCGTCTGTCCTTTATGTCACATTTCAAGAACTCCAAGATCATCGCTAAATGCATTCATGGGTAAAGCATACCTTTTAGTATTTCAGCATTTCATTTGGGGAACAGAATTAACAGTGTGTGGCACACACAAAACCTTAGCATTAGGTTTGCTCACCATGTGGAAGTGCAATTTTTCATCCTTATGACAATATAAGAGACGGTGACTGAAGCAAATAACTGGTAGCTAGGAGATCTTCCTGATTCCCTTCCTGGTGGTTTTCCCCCATTAACTGTGCCATGACTCCGTAGCTAAAGGGCTTAGTTTCCTCTTACTTGAGTTGTTCAACTGGAAGCGAAGAAAACAGCAACAGAAACTCCCGGAGGTGGGGCCGGGGCATCTTGAGCTGAGGTTCCCAAAGTAAGTTTGCAAATTGTAAGGCAGCATGTAAAATACTTCATTTAAGTTTCTGTGGATTTTGTGGATCAGTAGCTCTGGTCTTACCAAAATTGCTTATGGTACAAAGAAAAAGGATGAAATGAAAAAAGAATGAAACATGTATCCTAGAAAACAGATAGCACTTCTTTGCATATCTGCTTCTTTCATTGCATGTCATGGAAATTCATTTTCCTGTACTCCTTTGAAAATGTTACCATTTCATTTTTATCACATGATTTATTTGTGTACTCCAAGCCTACATGCACAATAATTGAAAATTATACCTGAGATATTCATTTCCTCCTATATCAACACCAAGGAACAACTTCTTATCGAGAAGCCAAAAATAAACAGAAAAATTGGTGTAAGAAGCCAGCCCATTGGTGTAAGAAGAAAGCTTTTGTGATAAATCATTTCTTGGCAATATTATCACAAAGCCTTGTTTTCAAGGTTTTTTTCAAGTCTTACAAGTGAAATGTAAAATTTTTATGCACTGCCTTGCAGTGATGGTAGAGGTACCTGCAGAGGTGTCTTTACCTGTATTTAATGACTGTAAAACATATGCTAAGGAGTTATTTTATTTATTTTTTCTTCAGGGGATGTTGTGTGTTTGTTTTGTTGTTTTAAGAATACATGGACTCCAAATTACAAATGGAATATTTCTGAAAGCTTGGCTCATGAGCTAGTTATTTAGAACTTACAATGAACTCTTCTACAGAAACAATGATACACATAAATAGAAACAGAACCAAAACTAATTAGCTGGAAATGAGGCAGAGGCAGTCTTCCTGCTGTCCTATCTGCTTAGCACACTTACTTGGTCTTCCAGAGTCTTAGTAGCCTCCTGGATGTGGAGAGAGAATTGGCGGCTTCAGCAGCAGCAGCAGCAGCAGCAGCAACAGCAGCTCCTTTCTGTCTGGAGCAGAGCTATTTGATGGTGTGCTCATGAACACAATAGCTCCAAAAGGCACCCAACTTTTGCTTCTCCAGCTCTTTCAAAGATTTTTGTCAGCCCGTAATTTTCTGTATTAAATCCCTTTCTATTTCCTTCACAGAGTTTTGCCCTTACCTGACAATTTGATGAAGGAGGTTTCTTCCTTTACCTATTCACCAGGCTAAAGGCTCCTCCACATACGGTAGTCCCCCTTATCCACAGGGGAAATGTTCCAAGACCCCCAGTGGATGCCTGAAACCATGGCCAGTCCTGAACTGTATATATACTATGTTTTTTCCTACACATACATACTTGTGATAAAGTTTAATTTGTAAATTAGGCACAGTAAGTGATTAACAACAACAGCTAAGAATAATTATAACAACATACTTTAATAAAAGTTACTATAGAGCTTAGCAACCTGGGCCTACAATTTTTTTTCTTTCCTGATTAAGTGGAGAACTTTCACCTTTTCACTTAAAGGAAGCACTTGAAGGCTTCTCTGTGGTGTATCCAAATTGTCAGCATCACTACTCTTGCACTTTGGGGCCATCATTAAGTAAAATAATGGTTCCTTGGACACAAGCGCTGCGATACCTCAACAGTCTATCCGATAACTGAGAGGGCTACTGGTGACTGATGGGCCGGTGGCCTGTACAGTGTGGATCTGCTGGACAAAGGGATGATTCACATCCAGGGCGGGAAGGAGCCAGATGGAGGGAGATTTCATCACTCAGAACTGCGTGCAATTTAAAATTTATGAATTTCTCTTTCTGGAATTTTCTATTTAATATCTTTAGACCGCAGTTGACTGGAGGGGTAACTGAAACCCCAGAAAGTGAAGCTACAGATAAGGGGGGACTCCAGTGCATCCTTTTTTTCACTAATTTCTCTTTCCACTCCTGCTTGAAAGGGTCATGCCTTTCCACAACCTCGAAGGCTCTTGCATCAGCTTTGACTGTACAAAACCTATCTGTGGCTCACTGTTATTATGCTAGATCAAAATGTGTATGTATTTTTGTTTGTTTGTTTTTTGAGGAAGATTAGCCCTGAGCTAACATCTGCTGCCAATCCTCCTCTTTTTGCTAAGGAAGACTGGCCCTGAGCTAACATCCATGCCCATCTTCCTCTACTTTATATTTGGGACGCCTACCACAGCATGGCTTGCCAGGCAGTGCCATGTCCACACCCAGGATCCAAACCAGTGAACCTCTGGCCACCAAAGCAGAACGTGTGAAGTTAACCACTGCGCCACGGGGTCGGCCCCTGTATTTTGGTATTTATTTTGTCATATTGATATAGGTGTTTCTGAATAACTAAGATATTGTCAGCATTATTGTTTATAATTTGTCCTTAAATGCTACTCCGTCTGAGAGTAAACTAAGGTTCTTCTGTCCTTCTGGCCCGAATTTTTTCAGGTAGGATGATTGACCAAGGAGGCCTGGTTAAAATCAAGTATCCTAGGAAAGAAGGACTTAAAAGAATGGACCAAGCCCTTGAGATGAAGGAACTATGTCAAGTTTGAAGAGTCAGGCCCCTAAGAGAGATTGGCAAGAGAGGCAAAATGCCCAGGGAACTGAAGGGACAGGGACGGCTGTCCCACATGTGTGTTGGTAATTGCGTGCATGGGAGATGATCCAAGGATGTTGATGACTGTGAATGCCAGGTGGCTTTATGTAAGAGAGTGTCTGCCTTGCCGCATGGCTGGAAGACGAAACATCTCCAGTCCTTTTATTATATGTCTATAATGTGAATAGCCTCTGCTTAGATAAGGCGGTTCATAGCCTGAATAATCTGAGATGGCCCTGCTTACCCAGAGCATAGAGAGGTCCCATTATCCTTAGATTGACTTTAGAAGCATTATCTTTAGCTGTAAGGTCTTTCTTTGTGGTTATAAAAGTAATATGTACTTTGGAAAATGGAGAAATATAGAGAGATCTGAAGGAGAAAATAAAAGCATTTGAAATCCCACTCCAAGTAATATAATGTTATGAAATATCAAATATTTCGTATTACTACATTCGTACATCTCTCTTTATGTGTGCATATGTGCATATACACAGAGAGATATTTTGAACATGTTTTAATGTAATATTTGAATTTGGCATCTTGTTTTATCTACTTAGCATGTTGTGTCATTTTCCTATGTTATCAAAAATTCTTCATGAAAGTTATTTTTAGGGCTGCCTAAAAGTCTATACCCTTAATACTGCACATTTGAGTTGCTTCAGACTTTCTTTTATAAATGCTGTAATGAAAATCTTTGCCTGTAAACCCTCATGGCTCTACCTTGGGATGGATTCCTAGAAGTGGAAGAACTGGGTCAACAAGTCACACTCTTTGAAGCCTGTTGAAACACCCTAAAGAATTGCATTCGAGAAAGGTTGCACCAGGGTACACTCCCAGCATTGGTTTATAAGAGCGCCAATTGGAAACTGTCCATGCCAGCAATGAACAGTATAATTTATAGATTAAACTTTGCCAATGTTGTAGGCAAAAATTATCTTATTGTTGTAAGATATTGCTGGAGAGGTTTACTAAGCCATTCATATATTTATTAAACATTTATATTTCTTTTAAATCATGTTCTTTGACCATTTTTTTCTTTTGGCATTATTGTAAGGTATTAATCCCTTATTTTATGTTGATTATATTTTCCCTGCTTGCTGTTTGCTTTATAATTTTGTTTATGATGTTTTTGATTTAGAAATGCTTTAAATTTTTATTAGCTAAAGAAATTTTTATTTGTGATTTCATACACACACACCACCCACTCACACACACACCTGCCCCACACATATATCTATATCTGTTTAGAACATTCTTTCTATTCCTACAATCAGTTAAATATCCACCAGTATTTTCTTGTGTGTGTGTGTGTTTATGGTTGGACGTTTTTTACTCTATGTATTTAGTCTCTTTAGAATGACTATATGTATTGTGTGAGGTTTAGAGCTAATCTGTTTTTTATCCCCCCAATCATTAATAATGCACTTTCTCCCTGGCTTTACAATCCTTTACGATAGTTATAAATACGAAAGTCTATATTAAGCTTTTATACTTTTGTTGGTATTGTGAAAGGAATTTTTCTTAACCACATCGTGTTTTTGCTGCTGGTTTCTAGCTTTTGGTTTTTATATGTTAAGTTTTTAACTAGCTACCTTTCTGAATTCTGTTATTAATTCTAATACTAATAAATACTAGTATCTCTTAGACTTGATTTCTTTGCATTTTCTAGGTGTATAATCTTCCAGTCTATAGATAAGGTTGATTTCGCTTCCTTTCAAATGGTAATTCTTCATTTCTATTTCTTGCCTTTGGCAATGCCTGGAACTTTGAGATCAATGTTCATTCAGAGATATTTAAATAAATAAATGAAGGAACCTCTATAACAGCACCTACTAAAGTATGTTCCACAAGATCATCTGTAAAAAAACAATGGCAGTGGAGGGAAGCCTTATGCTTCCTCTTTGATCTGTCATTAAATATATGATTAACAGTACAGATTCTAGATTCAGAATACCTAGGTTTGAATCCTAACTCTGCCACTTACTAATGTAATTTTGGGTAAGTTAATTACCCTCTCTGCCTTCAGTTTCTTCATCTGTATAAAGGGAATAATAGTTGTATCAACCTTAAAGGATTGTTGGGAGGGTTATATGAGCTAATAGTATATCTAAAGTGCTTAGAGCAGTCCCTAGCACATAATAAGCATGTAAGTGTTAGCTTTCGGACCCGATTTTTAACCAGAACCCTAACCAAAAAGAAACCTGAGAAATGTAGTTTTTAACCTTTCCAGCCTCTGCAGTTAGAAAGTCACCCTTTCTAATAATCTCGTAGGAAGGTGGAATAGAACAGTGCTCCTCAGCTTTAATGTGCAGATGAATCATCTCTTGTTAAATGCAGATTGTAATTTCCTTGGTCTGGGGTGAGGCCTAAGATTTTGCATCTCTAACAAGCTCCCAAGTGATGCTGATACTTTGCCCATGTACCACACTTTGAGTAGCAAAGGAGTAGAGGATAAGCAAGCCAGTCCACAGTATTCACACTACTTGCCCTTCAACAGAGTAACAGTAATAGATATATATAAGGAAGTTATTTAACTATTTCCCTAGAAGAGTATATTTGAACTCGTGGTAAAGTATGAGAAGCCTACAGTTGTTCCCCAGGCCAAGTGATTTGCTTTAGGTCCTACAGCTAACTAGTACTAGAGTAGACCAGAATCCAGGCCACAGCCTGTGTTTTTCATACATACAAAGAGGCCTCCCACGTGCTGGAAGAACAGTCTCGGACAGATCAGCTGCCCTTCCTTAGATTGTGTAGCTCAACGTTAGGCATTCCTTTATACCCATATGCTTTCATACCTTTTAGAAGCAATTTTCAGGCAGTACTGTAACAAGTGATATGAGTTTAGATGAATTCAGCTCTAAACTTAATCTCACCTTGTTCCCGAGAGTGTCCAGTCACTAGAGTAACTCAGAATAATTTTGCATATCTTAGGCATCTTTCGTTCATTTTTTTATCATTATTCAGAGGGGAACTTCTAAATCAGTGGTTCTTAACTGGGGGCAGTTTAGTTCACAGGGGACATTTGGCAATGTCTAGAGACATTTTTTACTGTTAAGACTAGGGGAGTGCCACTGGCATCTAATAGGAAGAGTCCAGGGATACTGCTACACATCCTATAATGCACAGAACAGTCTCCTACAACAAAGTGTTATCTGGCCCAAATGTCAAAAGTGCCAAAGTTGAGAAAGCCTACTCAAAATGCATTAGAGTTACAGTGGTTTGAGTTGTTAAATATAATTACTCTGCTAATAGATATACCAATGGATAGGTAAAAATTTATTTTCTTGAAGCTTACATTCCAAACAGGTAATCTCCCAAGTTGTATCTTTTCTTGTATCACTACTTTCAGCAACTCCTCATATGCACCTTTCTCTATTTTGCTCTCTCTCTCACATTCTTTTTCTGTCCCCCTTTCCTACAACCTGTCTTTCTGTCTCTCCTTATTGAGAAAGTCTCATCCTCCTGTTGTCTTCTTATTCCTCTCAACTAACTGCATCACAAAACTGTATTTTTAGTACATGTAATTTTCAGATTTATAAAATAAATATTATTTATTTATTTAATAAAGTATTAAGATTTCCTAATCTAAAAATCAGATGTTTCATATTTCTCTAAAAAAAAAAATTAACCCCCCAACCTAAATTATGTTGCTTTTTGTGTAAATCTTCAGTTATTGTTGTTGTTGTTTTTTCTGTTGTAGGTCATTGATCCTTGATAGGAAAAAGAATACCCACCCTCCTCTGTACGAGTTTTTCTCAATTTCCTATTCCAGAGAAGTGGTAAAGCAAGGTTAAGGGGAAAAACTAAAAGTACTATTAGCCTTGCCCTAAGAGGCCAAAGTAGAAACCCTGTATCTTTATTCGTACCTTCTTTAAGCCTTAGCCACACTATCTCTAGTTTCTCTCTTCTTCTCTGGAGTCACAAGCTTATCTAGCAGTAGCAGCCACCTATCTTCAAAAACCTTGACAGTCCCTAATAGTCACGTTGTGATTCTTTAAGTCTGATATGTGTGTGTGTGTGTGTGTGTGTGTGTGTGTGTGTGTGTTTAGAGGAATTCATGAGACAAAGAGTAGTTTCATTTGAGCAAAGAGACTGAATTTGTAATTAACTTGATGCAAAAGATATTTTCTAACTTCTCAACTAATTTTTTTCCCATATCCAGTGTGGTTTTTTTTTTTTTTTTTTCCATTTAACCTCATTGGCAGCTATGCCTTAGCTTGGCATGAGAAGAGACGATGGTTGGCTTTGTTTATTGTTGCTGTTTCCTTATGGCAACAACTAGTAGAGTTTATCAGAGCTCTGATCAAAGAGAAAGCATGGAAAAGTTTTGAACTTCATGGAAAATGAAGGATAAAATTATTATTAATGCTTAATATCTAAACAGTGTTAAGATAATTAAATTTCCATTATGGGTTTTACTATATTCTCTCTGATATAGCTTTTTGTAACATCTCTGTTTGAGATTTTTTTATTCCCTCTTCTAATTAATCCAAAGAAATTGATTTTTGTTTTCTACTTCGATGTATGCAGATCGTCTACAGAGGCTGGGAATTCAAGTTTGATTTCCTGTGACCAGAAAATTCATCAGTCTGATTGCACTCAGAATTCCTCAGTCCATGATTTTCAGAGATAATAATGTATAATAGAAGCTGTTGACACTGCCGTAAGTTGAGAATTGAGAAGGAAAGTCAGTTTTAAGGAAAGCTGTTTGCTTTTGGCTACTTTTAATAGACAAGCTAGTCTGTCTTGTGGTAGCATCTAGCATATGGCCCTGCACATACAAGGTACTCAATAATGTCACCAGACACTTCATTTCTTAAAAGTTAAGTAGATTTTAGGAAAAGTACAAAATGTAGAAATTTTTAACCTGCAGCTTGAATTAATCATGTTCTTCACTTCATGGCCTAATCTTATCTATCATCAGTTCATGCACAGCCCTCTCTTATTTAATTTAAATATTTTTTCATTGCACAACCATTCTCTTCCACTATAGTAGGCAACTCTTTTAATATTTTTGATGGATATGGCTGAAATTGTGTGCATCTTTTTGAATACTTGGTAGTTTCATTTGTGTATGTTTGCAGCTATGATTTAAAATATTGAATCCTATTGGTTAAAGTGAAAATGAATACAAATTTTAGTATTTTTCAGTTTGTAATCATTTCAAAGACTAATTCAAGGAGTAGTTGATATTCTCATTGATTTTTATCCATCTCCTCAGAATGTGTTTTTTTCCTTTATTGGTTTTATGTAATTTAGTGGGAGATAAGTGTAAATAAATAACTGCATTTAATCCAAAATGACAAGTTATGATATTTAATTAAAAATGACAAACGAGTTTATAAATATGATGATAACCATGTTCTGAATTATATAATGTGGCTAGGCAAAGCTTTGTATAGTTAGTCAATTTTTATATTTAACATATTTTTATACATTTTGTAGGAAATGAAAATTGCAACTGCATTTAATATCCAGTGAGCGGGAAAACATGCCCAGCCTCACTAGGAATTTTAAAAATGCAAATTAAAGCTAGTTGTTAAAGATTAAAAAGATGAATGGTGTGGGTTTAGAGAAACAACGTATGAAATAAGAATACACTGAAGTTAAAAGCATAAATTGGTTCAGTCTTTCTGGAGGGAAATCTGATATCAAACCTCATGAGTAGATACTCTTATTACCCCCACTTTAAAGATGTAAAAACAGCAGCGTAAGTAACATAAGTTAACATATTGACATAAGTTAACATATTAACTTAAGTTGAGTAACATATTGAAAGTATCATAGCTAGTAAGTTGCAGAGTTGAGATTCAAATCCATTCTTAAAGCCTCAGGTCTTAACCACCAAGCTGGTGTTAGGCCATGAAATCAATTTAGTGGATTGTGAACAGGATAGGATACAAATGGTTAGAATGTATCACACATGGTATAAGTATCATTTTGTGGAACTTTGGTTTCTGCTATGTACTGGGTCAAGATGGAAAATATATTTCTTATTGTTGATCACAGTCAAGATCACTGCACTGCCCAGCCAGCTCAATTCTGTCTCACGGCCTCTGCCTGGACTTTCTTCCCCAGATCTTCTATCATCAGCTGATGTCACCTCTCCGAAATCCCAGCTCTGCCTACTCTATAAAGAGAACCTCCAATCCACTCCATCTTCCTCTCTTCCGCTATTCTGTTTTTTATTTTCCTCATAGCTCTTCTCACTATTTGAAATGATCTGATTAATTTATTTCTTAATGTGTTTATTCTCTGCCACTTCCCACTTCCCCCTTCACAGGCTCACGCTAAAACATAAACCCCATGAAAGAGGAGATCACAGTATATGGCATTTGCTTCAGACAGTTATTATGGCATCTCTGAGGTAGTATAGAGTTTGTAAAAACTTCTGTCGAAAATGACACTGCTGGTAAAACCTCAATTGATGTTTTTGCTGAAGCAGTGTGGCTTCCCAGGGGCCATTATCATGACAAAAATTAATTCTGAAGAGAAAGGACTTTGTGTATAACAAGAACATACTTTATTGTCAGAATTAAAAGAAACTAGTGCTGTTAGTTGTGTGTTGAGCTAAAGCTCCCTCTAAGATACTGGCAAGAATTTAGGCAAGGATTGTGTTCCTTGATATGCTGAGTTTAAAAACCACCAAAACAGGAAGCTGAAAGGCTATCAAACTTGGGATCTTGGTATTCATTTATGAAATTGGTCTAAATTTGCAGATTTGTTTTTAAATTTTCTTGAACTCAACACAGGAAAGATAGTAAATGAAACCCAGAGCTAACATAAGTTAAAATTCAGATTAGCCATTTCAATAATGGCAATGTTAAAGGGTAATTTTGAAAAAGAAGTAAAATTATAGTGCTCATTAAATAGAAAATGAGCACTTATTAAGGATTTTATTTAACTCATCATTAATGAGGGAACCAGACAAATGTTACAACTGATTCAAAGGAGAAAACAAAGAATCAAAAATATATTTGGAGAAAATGGGTATGTTGAAATGAACTGACAAATTGACATGAAACTGGCTTTTTCCATAGGCAGGGGAAGGAAGACAATTGAGCCTCCACTGTAACAGAATTTGTTTGTATGTCAATAGATAAGAATTATTTTGCATTGCTATTTGTTATCTGTAATTTACAGACGTAAAATAGCTCAAAAGCCGTGAAGGCTAAACAATATTCCAAATAATGCAGAGTTTTCTGTGGAGACACTCTGTAATTTTTTTTTTTTTTTTTTTTTTTTTTTGCTTATTCTTAGTTTCCTTAGAGTAATAAAGAAATTTCTAAAATTCGCTGCACAGAATAAATTAATTTGTAGATAGGGTACCTGATCTCTCCCTTTACAACGTCTCATGCTGCCAGAAAATATTAGTTCTAATCTAATCTTCTTTCATGGTAATGTATAGACACATTCAATGTGCATGTGAAAATGCACAATTTATGTGCATGTGAAAAGCAAGGATTGATTTATATTTGAAATTGTTTCTGTTGAGTTATATAACTAAAATTGACCTGATGCTAAGATAACTACTGAAAATCAAATTTTTGTCCATGGCCGTAACACCCTGAACGCACCTGATCTCGAAAAACAATTTTTTTTTTTTTTGCTTTTTCTCCCCAAATCCCCCCCAGTACATAGTTGTACATCCTAGTTGTGGGTCCCTCTAGTTGTGGCATGTGGGATGCCGCCTGAGCATGGCCTGACGAGTGGTGCCAGTCCACACCCAGGATCCCAGCCAGTGAAACCCTGGGCCACTGAAGCGGAGCACACAAACTTAACCACTCAGCCATGGGGCTGGCCCCCGAAAAACAAATTTTGATGAGAACAAGATTGCTGCTCCAAGGATTCCCTACCTATATCTAGTTTTCATTTAGCAAACAAATCCCAACTGCTTATTCATATCATCCTAGCATATTTTCTCCATGTGTTGAAAGGTTATTGATTTCAGAGACAGCTTTGTCTACTCAGGAGTTTCACAGGAGTATAGAAGCACATGTAGTTTAAGCTTTTTAATTTAAAGAGTAAGAATGCAGTGATTTCTTCATAGAGAATTAACCAGTTAGCGTAACCATCCTTGATATCAATAAAAAATACCTGATGTAAAACACTTGAGAATAAATATATGAAGAAAAAAATTAAAATACCAAATTATTCCTTCATTATGCAGTACGTATAAAAGTTTCTCTAACAGTAGTGTAATGAAAAGGTTATAATGATTCTGCCGTTTCTGGATGATAATATTTTCCCTTTGGAGTTTAAATGACTGACTATTTAGATACACTGTATTTATTTGGCTAGTATTTTAAGGCTTCAGTGGGTCTAACAACCTGGCCATATACTGAAGATACTTTCTTTCTCCATCTGTATCATATTGAACATCAATTGCTTTAAGAACTGATTAAAGTTTTCTGTATTATTTGTTCCTTATTTTTCTGGCTACCATATACTTTCTTGATAGTTTCTCATTCATTCATTCAAAAAACTTATTGAACTCCTACTATTTTCCAGGCACTGCTCTAGACACCCAGGATAGAAAGAAACAAACAGAAACAGGCCCAAATCTCTCCCCTCACTAACCTCGCATTGTAGTCGGGAGAAAGAGACAATGAATAAATGAACAAGAACATGAGTGGGTTATAGGTGCTATGGAAAAAATAAAAGCAGGGAAGGTGCATAGGGAGTGTGGGGATGGGGTAGGGTTGCTCTTTTAAATAAGGTGGTTATGGAAGGGCTCACTGAGGTGATAGCTAAGCAGGGACCTAAAGGAAGTGAGAATTACTCACTGAGCTGTGCCCCTCCTTTTGCTTTGACTAGCTAGTGGGGTAGAGCCAAATCTGAGACTCGGTCTTAGTAATTGTGGTAACGTATCTTTGCCCAGTCTAGATTCTCAGTTCTTTCTCACACAGCACCCTTTCCAGTTGTCTATATTTTATTACTATTTTATTCATTTGTTCCTACTATAAGCAAGTTCAGATCCTTTGTAGAAAGATAAGAGGCAAAAGTAAGTTAATTATGATTTTACTTCAGGTAGCAAATTTCGTCTTTTAAAAAGTGTATTTCTTAAGGAGCATCATATAATCACACATTATAATGAATTTGTTTAAATATTTTGCTTTCTTTTTAATACCTGGTTCAGTTCCTTTGCACTAAGGGATTTAGAAATTTGAAGTGCAGTTTATTAGAAAGAGCTCTGAATTTATAGTCAAAAGACTCCTGCATTCAAATCCCAGCTGGTTTGATTCTGGAAAAGTCACTTGACCTTTAGAATCTGATAACACCCACCTTATGGCATTTTTATGAGGAGAAAATGCCTGGAATACATGTGTTTAATAAGTTTATTGAACAAATGACTAATAAGCAAATGAAAACGTGGGAGAAATTGCAATTAAAAATGGGGGAAAAATCAAAGTAAAACTACAGGAATTTTTTTGAAGAGATTAAAAATATTACACTGATAATTTTCTCTTGACCAAGGTGTGATTTGAAACTGAGAGTCTTCAGCATATAAACCATCTAAGCATTAGTAAACTCGTGAGAGTACCTGAAGTCTCCATCAGGAGAGACTGCAGAGTGGGAGGAGAGCATGGCCCGCGGAGAAGTCGAGAAGTCGCTGAGGAGCTGCAGCGCAAACTCAGAGGGGAACGAGCCGGCAAAAGTAGATCAAGAAGGCCAAAGGCAGCGAAGACATCTAGAGTGACACAGGCTTCTTGCTTGCACTTCTGAGTTGTGCCATTCACTGAGGTAGGAGACCCTGGAGGAGGACGAATTTTAGGGCAGATGATTCTAAGTTTAGTACAGGGCAGGCTGAGTTTGAGGTTCCTATGAGACATCTACGTGGAAATGTTGGATATGCAGTCAAGCATACAAGTCTAGAAACCTGAAGAGTTGCCTGAGCTGAGAAGTAACGCTGAGAAAGATAGGAAGAAAACTATGAATCTTTTATAAAAGTACACGTCATTTTACTTAGTAAGGGAGAGTGCAGCAATATTTTAATATGATGATTTGAATACCGATCTTTCCTTATATCATAAGCAGCTTAATAGCAGGGAGTATGGATTATTTATTTTGTGTCCCCCACAGCACTTACCTTGCTCATGGTAGGAATTCAATTATTATTTACTAAATTGAACTAAATTGACTAATGGGTTTATTTTGCAAGCCAGACTGTTCTGCGAGTCAAGGATTGTGAGTTACCGGAGTTGGAGTTCAGTAATCAAAGGCTGGTGGTACTCAGGGAGGACGTGACATACACCAAAAAACAGAGTGTGGTTTCCTGAAAGTTAGCAGCTGTCAGTCTGGCAAATCAGTCAGGTCTGTGCAGGTTTGCCACAGCAGAGCACAACACATCTTGCATAAAATGCAAAGCATGCTGAGAGAGAAGATCATAACTTTAGAACATAACTACAGACTATTACAGTAGCAGAGAACTTGTAATCATTTTCAGTTTATCACCATTCATCTAAAATTAAAGCTAATATACGTCATTATCAAATAAGGTGGCTGTATATGCATATACTGTTTTTCAAAGAACTTCTTCCATAAGAAATGTCATAAACCCACATACTTTTCTTTATTTACAAGACTACGTTCCTACAGATTCTTTAGTGCCATAAATAATGAAAAGCATTTAAACTTTTTCCCCACTTAGTCTAAATGGTTGATTGGTAACTTAATAGGCGTTTCATTTCATAAGAACTGCACGGCAGTGGTTATTTGAGAACTGCAAAGAAAAATATCAGCCGACTCACTGCATTTGACAAAAAGTGCAGTGTGAATACAAACAAGAAGCTGCTGTTGTACAGAACACAATCAACAACTCCCGAACATTGTTATATGAGTGGCATTTTCTTAGCTTTTTGAAAAATTGTTAGATCCATAACTACTGCTAATTTTGCTATGAGACAAAAATCTTGTCATAGATCTTAGTAAGAAATTAATGATAAAAAGTTAACTTTAAAGGCAACTTAATTCTAACAAGGATGGTTCATATATTTGCATAGTTCTATTAGACCAGCGATGTTTATCTTTAACTCTTCAAATATCATATGGAAAAGACTTATAAAAATGTACACAAGTAGAATTTTCAAACTTGCATAAAGCTGGGCATCCTTGGTCTAGATACAAACTTAAAACTTTTATTCTAAAATTTAATTTAAATAGAGGTATTCAGGGGGCCAGCCCCTTGGCCTAGTAGTTTAGTTTGCCACACTCTGCTTCAGCAGCCCAAGTTTGGTTCCCAGGCACAGAGCTACACCACTCATTGGTGGCCATGCTGTGGCAGTGACCCACATACAAAATAGAGGAAGATTGGCACAGATGTTAACTCAGGGAGAATCTTCCTCAGTGAAGAAAAAAAAAGAGAGAGAGAGAAAGCTATCACAAAGTCATAAATGTTGATGATTCTTTCAATAGATTATGGTCAAGCAACCCAAACAGCAGCCATCAGTGATAGACCCAGTGCTTGTAAGAATCGGTCTTCATCTAGTTTGTGCTTCAGATTTTGTCTAGTGCCTCTGATTTTGTTATGGTTTTGCCTTGCTTGATTTTGTCATAAAAGGAAGTGTAATTTGCCTAACACAGAAGTGTTCCAGTTCCAATCAGAATCTCTATTTTGTGTCTTTTGCTTTAGGAATCAAAAGTTGTATTATAATACAAAATCCACTTTTGTACTTAGATGTATGGATGGGAGCATTTGGATTGTGAATATAGGTTATCCTTAAAAAGAAATAGCAACCCCTCTAGGAAGAAGATAGAAGAGTGGCAAAGATTTGGAACAATAAATATGAGGAATTGGATGAACAGTTATTGAGAGGTGATCGAAGGGTATAGAGGAGTATATGAGAGTATGAAGGAGTAATGAGAGTAGAGAAGGAGTGCCGAGACAACATGATTTTATAACAAGGCATCTGAGCACAATTTTTTACCACAACACTTAGCAGCCTAGAAGAAGCAGCAGGGAAATTGGAGGCTGCTGAAAGTCAGGGAGTGGGGAGAACATGTGGCTGTGAATTCAAAGATGAAAGGTAGACTGTGGATTCTGAACTACAAGAAGAAAAAAGCCAAAAGGGCTAAATATATAATCGAGAGGCTTTAAAACTTAGAACACCTGCTCTCTTCCTCTCTCTGTTCATTTGTTTCTCACACTGTGATGT